CGCCCCGCGCGCTCGGAGCGGCGCGAGGCGGAGCCGCCCGCACCCCGCCCCCTTAACCCTCGCAGGCCGGGCTTGCGGGTCCCCGGGTCTGGCCTCCGATGCCCGCCCAGCCCCGCTGCCCAGACCACCCAGTGAGGACCCCTGGGCCTGCGAGCCAGGGTGGCCTGTGATGAGCCCCGGGAACAGCAGTTCATTCCACACAAGGGAAGGGCAGCCTCAGTGGGGACCGGCCTCCTGCACAGATGGCTCTTGGAGGAGTTGCACTGAACCGAAAAAGCCACCCGGTGCACCGCAGGGGAGAGACCTGGTTGCAGAAGCTTCTCAGTCCCGACCCTGCGCAGGTCACCTCGCGCTCAGGACGTCCCTCGAGGGCCCGAGGACCCCTGGCCAGGCTTGTGCCCTAGGTAGAGATGAAGCCCTGGGGCGGGGTGGGGGGATCCCAGGAGAGGGGCCACTCCGCTGAGCAGAAAGGTAAGCAGGGCAGGGTCTTTGAGCTCCAGCTGCTACCTTCCAGGGGACCTTCTTGCCTGGGAGAGATTAGGTGGGCTACAGGACTCACTGAGTCCTTGGCCCCTGATCTAGGGACAGCCACACCCCCTATACCCATGACTTCACCAGCTCGTCATCCTGGAAAACCCAGGTCCAGGTCGGCCCCAAATCTCAGGGACTCGGCCAGAGCCTGGGCCCGAGGGTCGGGAGACCCCACCTACTCCCAGTGCCCAGGCTTACGGGACTGTGCCCCAATACCAGGTTTTTCAGCTGGTGGGGACCTTGGGCTGGATCTGTGGAGAGCTCTTTACCAGTGGGGATGGGGTACAGGCTTTTGGGACGCACCTCCTGCCCTCGCCCCGGGCTTCCCCCTTCCCTGAGGCAGGGTAACCTTGAATCTTGCTCCAGCTGTGTGAAGGGACCCTAGAGCTCCCCAGAAACAGATGACCGGGACCGCAGGAAACTTCATGTTCTCTCCCAGAAATACTGATGGCCGGGGCCAGCCTGCTCAGAGCTTCTGGGGGAAGCCTGGGCACCCGCAGCCCCTCTGCCCCTGGGCGTGGGGCACCGGTGGTGGCTGGAGCAGGACCAAGGGGGCATGTCTGGCTCCAGTTTAGCTGGTGGCCACGCTGCCAGCCTATTTCAGGGAGAAGAGCCAGGTGGTGCTGCTGCTGACAGATGGCGCTGAGCAGGCAGCTACCTGGAAACCTGGTCAGACCAGCTGGAGGCTCCGGGGGCAGAGCCTACGCCAAGGCCAAGGCTCTCCAGGGCCGTGGGGCTCCCCGGTGTGAGCATTCCCAGCTGCCCGGGGTGAGAGATGTGGCCATAGTCACAGGGCTGAAGGCTGCGCTCCCCCACCCCACGCAGCCTCCGTTCCGTCCGTGTCTCCACGGCCTGGACTTAAGTCTGAGAGTTGGCAGCCCCTGTGAGCAGACTCTGACCTGCAGCTGAGGACCTGCACATCGCTGCTGCAGGGCCTGCTGACCTCACGCCGGGCTCAGCAGACTGAACCGTGGGACTATGAGGGACAAGGTGGCCAGTGAGGAAAGGCGGAGGCCGCAGTGCCTGTGCTGCCTGGGGCTCCTGTGGTGGTGGGGCTTCCAGGGAGGCAGGGTTGCCTGGGAAGAGAGGGGGAGGGGTGCCAGGGGCTCCTGCAGGGCGCAGTCCTGAGGGCCACACACACCTTCCACCGCCTCTGCATCCAGGCTGATGTCACGGCAGTATGCTTCACCGTGCTTCACAGTTGCATTTCAAGAGTGGTTTTTGTTGTTGTTTTGTTTTAAAACAAGGTCTTGCTCTGTACTTCATGCTGATCTTGAACTCACTGTGTAGCCCAGGCTGATCTTGAATTTGCAGCAATCCTTCTGCCTCGGCCTCCTGAATGCTGGGATTACAGGTGTGAGACACCACGCCTGGCTCAAGAATGGATTTTATTTTATTAGTACAATTGGGGGGGGGGGGCGCGGTACCAGGGATCAAACTCGGGACCTTGCACTTGCGAGACAGGTGGTGGCGCCCCTGAGCTAAATCCCCAGCCTGGGGTACAATTTTTTAAAGCAAAACATTTATATTGATACATTTAGATATACATAGTGATCACATTCATCATGGGGAATCTGTACCTGTGCATGATAGATCTTGCTGCTTTTATTCCCATTCCCCTTCCCTCCCTTTGACCCCTCTTTCCCACCTTATTTACAAAAACTTTGTTTCCATGTTTTCCTTCTACTCTTACTCTCTCTCTATCCCTCTTTCTCTCTCTGAGACAAAGTCTGGCTGTGTAGTTCAGTCTGGCTCTGAACTCACTGTGTTGCCCAGGCTGGTCTCGAACTTGTGGTGATCCTCCTGGCTCAGCCTCCCGAGTGCTGGGATCCCAGGCCCAGCTCCCTTTCTTCTTCTCCCTCCCTTTCCCCCTTCCCCTCCCTTGTTCCCGTTCTCATCTGAACATTTTCTTCCCCTTTCCCAGTATCTGTTATACATTTGGTCCTTATTTACATTTTTGGTTTCTCACACCAGAGAAACAATGTAGGATTTAAGCACATGTGTCCGATTTGTCCCATTTAAGACTGGTCCCAAGGTGCATACATTTAGCTAGAAATGTCTCAAGATTAACCTTCTTTATGGCAGAGTAGTACTCCACTGCATAGAAAACCCACATCTTCTTTATCCATTCACTGGTTGATGGGCATTGGGTTGTTTCCGAGATTTGGCTTTTACACACTGTGCTCCTATAAATACGAGTGAGCACGTATCACTGGGGCATGATGCTTTTCATTCTTTCAGGAAGATAGCAAGGAGAATAGCTGGGTCAAATGGAGCCTCTAGTTTTGGTTCTTTGAGGAATCTCCACACTGATTTCCACAGTGGTTGCACCCGTCTGCACTCCCACCAGCAGTGGAAAGGGTGCCTTTTCCCCGTACCCCTTCAAGCGTCTGTTATTGGTTGACTTCTTGATAATAGCCATTTCAAGAATTTTTTTTTGGTAAGTCATTCTGTGTCTATGCATCACGGAACATGCTTTTCTTCCCAGAAAGAAAACATGGTTTGAAGAATTACATTCTAACAATTCCTTTCTTCTGGGCCGGGGATTTAGCTCAGTGGTTCCGATGCCTGCTGTGCAAGCACAAGGTCCTGAGTTCGATCCCCAGTACCAAAAAAAAAATTCCTTTCTTCTGACTTTGCTTTGGGATTTTTATTTGATTTGCACATATTTGCAGTTCAGGTAGTCTATAGCTGTCTTGGGGAGGAGTTACATGGACACATTGCAGCATGTTTCTTTGTTTCTTTTTTAAAATCCCCTTGCCCTGCCCTGCCCTGCCCTGCCATGCCCTGCCCACCTCCCCCAGTTCCCCCATCCCAGTTTTTCTTCTTGTTGATATTATTTGTCTTAGTTCATGTTTATGGCCCATAATGTCCACATGAATTGGGGTTACCAGATTCCTATAAATGGCACATTTTTATTCTTTTTTCCCCATCCCATCCTCCTCTCTGGTCACCCTTGTTCCCTTGGACCCTTCCTCATTGCAAGAAATCCATCCCCTTGCCCCTTTCTGCCCATCCTTTATCATTTTCTTCATTTGTACTTTGCTTCCCTGAAATGAGAGATACTATACGGTATTTAAGCTTGTGTGTCTGGTTTATTTCATTCAACATTATATTTTCCAGGTGCAGCCATTTTCCTATAAATATCTCAAACCTATCATTCTTTATAGTGAAATAGTGTTCCATTATATATAGATACCACATTTTCTTTATCCAGTCATCTGTTGATGGATATACAAGCTGTTTCTAGGGCTTGTCTATTACAAATTGTGCTGCTGTAACATTGTTATGCATCTATTGTTGTAGTATGATGACTTGCGCACTTTGGGGAAGATACCTAGCAGGGGAAAAGCTGAGTCATATGGAATTTCTAATTTCAGTTCTTTGAGAAATCTCCACACTCATTTCATAATGGTTAAATTAGTTTGCATTCCCACCAACAGTGCAGGAGGGTTCCTTTTTCACCACAGCCATGCCAACATTTGTTATTGCTTGATTTCTAACTCATTACCATTCTTTCCAGAGTCAGATGGAATCTACTTTTTCGTGGTACTGGGGATCGAACTCAGGACCTTCCACTTGCGAGGCAGGCAGAGGAACCACTGAGCTAAATCCCCGGCCCTGGAATTTTAGAATTGTTTTAATTTGCATTTCTCTAAGGGCCAGAGATGAACATTCTTTCATATATTTGTGGACTATTTTTGTTTCTTCCTCTGAGACATATTTATTCATTTCTCTTGGTCATTTCTTGACTGGGTCTTTAATTTTAGGTAGATTCATTTTTTTATTGCTTTGTATATTATGCATATTTGTTCTTCCCATTTTGTAGGTCATTGTTTACTGGTTCTTTTGCTGTACAGAAGCTTTTTAGTCTGATAATCCCGTTTGCTGATTCTTGCTGCTCTTCCTTGTTCAATTAAGGTTCTTTTCTACACGTCTTCCAGTGTTTCAACTATTTTCTCTTCCAGTAGGTTTAGGGTTTCTGCTTTAATGTTTGGGTCTTTGATCCATTTTGATTTAAACTTAGTATGTGCTGAGAGGCCAGGCTCCAGTTTCAGTCTTGTGCAGAGAACCGTTTTCCCCAGCACCACCTGTTGACTAGGCTGTCTTTCTTCCAACATATGCTTTTGGAGCCTTTGTCAAAGATAAATACTCGAATATGTCTGGAAAGGGTTCTGTATCCTCAGTTCTGTTCCACTGATCCATATATCTGTTTTTGTTCAGTACCACGGTGCTTTTATTGATATTACTTTATAGTATTGCTTGAAATTGGGTCTTATTCTATGCCTCCTGCTTTGCTCATGACCAAAATTGTTTTTGCTATTCTGGGTCTTCTAGCTCCATATTAATTTTAGGATTATTTTCTCTATCTCTGTAACGTATGCTGTTGGTATTTTGGCTGGGACTGCATTGCATTTATAAAGCAATTTTGGAAGTGTGGCCATTTTGACAATATTGGTTCTGCCTAGCCAGGAGCAAGAGACATCTTTCCATTTGCTGATGTCCTCTTCAATCTCCTTCTTCAGAGTACTGTAGTTTTTGTTGTAGAAGTCCTTTACTTCCTTGCTTCGGTTAATTTCTAGGTATTTCATTTTCTTGAAGCTACTATGAATGGTAATATTTTCATAGAGTGGTACTTCTGTTCATGAACATTTTTGTTTGTGAAGAATTTGGTTCACAAACAAAACAAACACAACCATAGGCATCTTTTCCAAGACTGTCGAGCAAATCAAGTTTGTGAACCAAGGCTCCACTGTAATTTCTTTCTCATCCCATTCACTTCTGTGCACACAAATGCTAATGATTTTTCTCTGTTGATCTTGTATCCTGCTACATTGCTGAAATTTGTTATTAAAGCTAAGAGTTTTTCAGTGGAGTTCTTTGGGTCTTTAGACTATGTAGATGTGTAGAGTATCATGTCATCTATAAATAATAATAATTTGAGTTCTTCCTTTTCTATATATATATCCTTTTTATTTCTTTCTCTTGCCTAGTTGTTCTGGCTAATGTTTCAAGTATTACGTTGAATAGAAGAGGTGACATTGAACATCCTTGTATTCTTTCTGAATTCTTTTGGTTTTTCCTCATTTAGTGTGATTCTGGGTATTGATTTGTCATATATACCTTTTATCATATTCAGGTTTGGTCCTTCTAAACTGGGAGCTGATCAGATCCCCAGCTGCCTGTTTAGGGTATGGTATGACAAGAGATGAAGCGAAAGACAACTTTGGGGGTACAAGAGCACAAGGAGGTTAGTGCCTCATATTGGGCAAAGACAAAGACCTCTCAGTTGACGCATATTTATTTAGCAAGTGTATGCAAGCCGGTGGGGCAGTGATGGTTTCATGAAACAGTGACAGTGATCAAAGCAAACTAATAAAAAGAGAAACAGGGCCGAGGATTTAGCCCAGTGGTTCTGCCGCCTGCCTCAAAAGCTCAAGGACCCGAGTTCAATCCCCAGTACCAAAAAAAAAAAGTCCAATATCATAAGAGCTACTTAGGAACAGGAGAAAACATACTGATTAGCACCTCAGATCCCAGCCTAATCAAGTCAACAAAGCAGAAGGCACATCAGCATGTCTCCAGTTTGGGGCCCTGAAGGTCAGTTCTGCACAGGCCCTCTGGGTTGCAGGAAAGCACATTCTGGGAAGGAGCCCGCTTACCAAGAGTGGCCCCTCTTACAAGCTGTTGCCATTCCTCCGCCCGTGCCTCTGGAGTGGCCTGATGGAAGGTCTGTGTTCCCTGTTTAGGATTTCCCTTTTAAAAATAAACAAGCAAGGTCTAGGATGTAGCTCAGGGGCACTGGGCCTGGCAGGCAAGCGCAAGGTCCTGAGTTCGATCTCCAGTACTGGAAAGAAAAAAAAAGCAAAGATTTCCTTAATTTGCTTCTTATTCAACAATGGAAGGAACACAGCTGGCCCTAGAGCAGGGCAAGCGGGAAGAGCCAGGCTCCAGGCAAGCAGGCTTCGGGATTCATGCTGTAGGGCCTGCAGGGCAAGGCTTAGTTTCGGTGTGAATGGGGAACATGCTTCTTTTCAGTGGAAGCCAGACTTACTGACAAAGAGGTTTCCCCATTCCCTCAACATATCTGGGCCTGCCTAGCCTGACACTTCCTCTCAAGCATCTCAGGAATTTTCTTTGTTCTCAGTTTTATTACTTCTACCTCCCCGCAAAATGTAAATGAGATGTGGCTCTGCCCTGAGCTTGCTGTCTATTAATACCTGGTAACTGCGGAATTTGCTGTCCCAGATGACTTGTGCCCTATGTAACCAATGCAAAGTGCTCAACTCCTGCAAGCCCGCCCCCTCCCGAGAGCATAACCTGCCCATCTCAGCCCCAAAGGGGGGCCAGTCTCTCTGTGGAGAAGTCCCAGATGGACCCACTGCCGATAAAATAAAACTGTACCCTTTGCCCGTGAGACTTCTGGGTGTGCCTTCCATTCTCCTGGATGACCCGCACTAGGCTGTGGACACCGGAGCTGTATATTCTGGCTGGCACTTTGCCACAACAGGTGGACTGTGGTACTTCCAGAAATAATGCTCCATGGATGCACGAGTCCCAGTTTTCTTTCTTCGGTTTTTCTGTTTTTGTTTTTTGTGTGGTACTGGGGATTGAACCTACTCCCTTCACACTGAGCTGCATCCCCAACACTCTTTTTATATTTTATTTTGAGACAGGGTCTCACCAAGTTGCTAAGTTGCCCAGGTTGGGCTCAAACTTCAGCCAGTCACCACCTCTGAGACATGGGGGACACTGGAGACGTGAGCCATCTCAAGCAGCCGTGCAGTGCACCGAGCCCAAGCCCTGGTGTGCGGCAGGGCACTGGGGCCCAGTGGTCATGGCCCAGAACCTCAGAACTAAACCAGAACAAGACTTTCCCCATTTATTTATTTTTGAGGTACTGACTATTTAACCCAGGGCCTTCACACTGAGCTACAACCGCAGCCCTTTTTAAAAAGATAAGATCGTAGTAAACTGTCTGGGTGATACTCAAAGCTGTGATCCTCCTGTCTCAGCCTCCCAGAGTGCTGGGATTATAGGCACACGCCACAGACCTCTTTCTAACCTGACTGTCGGGCATTCCGTCAGACTCCACAGTGCCCTGGAGGAAGCACAGCCCACTCAGGACTGAGCCCTGGGCTGTGGGCTCCTCCAGGGCTCCCGAGGCCTGTGTGGGTGGAGCACAGTCTTCATGGGAGTGTGTGTGTGCAGGACCTAGGACCTTCACATTGATCTTCATCCCCAGCTTTTTTTTTTTTTTTTTTTGAGATGCGTCTCGCTATGTAGTTCAGGCTGGTCTTGAACTTGCAGTGATCCTCCTGCCTCAGCCTCCTAAGTGCTGGGATTACAGGCCTGCACCACCACACCTGCGGTTTTTGGGGGGAGGGGGCAGCGTCCTGCTAAGTTAAGTTGCCCAGGTGGACTCAGACTTGCACGGACCTGCCCCAGCCTCCTAGAGCACTGTATGCACTTCCGGGTAGGCAGACACTACCCACTCCAGCGAGGAGCTGCCTTGTGTCTGTGCTAGTGCTGTGAAATAACTCTGGGACGAACCCTTTGCACAGGGAGCTTTCTGCTCACCTGACTTCCGAGAGTGGAGCCTAGCGCCCCCAAATCCAGGGCTGTGGTGGAGTCCATCATTGCCCCAGAAATGCTACCTGATGTGACCTGTCTAGAGAAAGGAACTCGTGCAGTTTCTTTATAAAGCTGAGGAAAGCTCTGGAACTTCCCCCCCATCTCTTTCTGTGCACAAAGTTACGCTAATCTCCTTGGTGTGCTGCCAGTGTGGAGCCTCTTTCCATTCACATGCGGGTCCTTTTTGGTTTTTGCTGGCGTCCCTCCCTGAGAGGTATTTTGGGACTGTGTGCCCGTCAGCTTCTTGGGGGCAGACAGCTGTCAGTTCTGTTCACCTGTGTCCCCAGTGCCAGGCCAGACAGTGTGCAGCCGTGACACAGCAGTGGAAAGACAAGGGACACAGAAAAGACCCACATTTATTCAGATCAGCGAACACTGCCAGGAGCCTGGTGGGCATGTTCCCAGAGAGGAATCACACCACGGGGTGAGAGATTGCGGTTTTTATAAGGGTCTGAGGTATGGAAAGAGGGTTAGACAGAAAAGGTGATTATCTCAAGAATGTCTTTTCCTGGATCCCTTTGCACCTTGCAGATCTTCCTCCTTTATGTTTAAAAACATAGTCTGTATTTTTGTCTATTAGTATGTTTGCAGTACATAGTGATTACATTCATTGTGGGGAGTAGCTACATCATTGTGTTTAAAATTATATGTCTACGGGCTGCAATTTGACAAGACCGGTTCCTCTGGCTTACAGAAGGTCTTTAGCTTTAAATAAGGAGGTATTCGAACACGGTCTTCTAGAAAAGGAGGGGCTCGGTGGGGTGAAGGAAGGTCCTTCCTTAGAGGTTTGTCTGGATACCCAGTTCTGCTGCTACGGGTTTAACCCCTCTGCTGCCAGGTGGAGCTTCTTGTCCAATAGATAAACATGCAGAATTCACCTGCTTGTCATTTTACCAACGTTGGGGCCCTGGCAGACAGGAAAAACGGGGGGTGCCCAGAACTCCTGCCAGGGCCATGTAGGGCTCAACCAGCCTCCCTCCACCTTCCGGCCCCGTCTGTGGTAGTTTCTCCCAACCTGGGCTGCTCTTTCTTTCCTTAGGGAGCATCAACTCAGTTGTGATTTCAAAATGCCTTCTGTATTTTACACAGAATTTTCATCGCTTCACTGAGGTCTTACCCACCTTAGCCGGGCATGGTAGCACACACCTCTAATCCCAACACTGCAGAGGCTGACACAGGAGGATCGTTGTGAGTTCAACGCCAGCCTGGACTCCATAGTGAGGTCCAGGACAGTCTGAACTCCATACCGAGACCTTGTTTCAACAAACAAAACCACACAAGTTACCCATCTGCCACGTTGCTGAAATCGGGCTCCTCTGGACTCACCCTGACTTACTTCACTTTGGATATTCCCCCCCCCCCCGGGCAAAACCTGGCCCACAAGTACACTGCTGTGCGGGTGTGTCCTGGGAACCGCCCCTCTCTCCCACGTCCCCACTCTGGTCTGGGCCCCGGCGCTCAGCGAGGGCTTCCTCCCGGGCACAGTGCGTGCAGTGCGGTCCCCCAAGGCGTGGGCTCTCCCCTCGGGCCTCGTCCCCAAGGTGCTCGGCGGTAGGCAGATGCGCGAACACCCAGCCTCTGTGAGCAGCACTCTCTTCCTGGACAGGATTTAGTTTAACCTTTGTTGCAAAAATTACCGTCGGGTCCGCACGCTCCGCACTCCGTACCCCGGGAGTCGGAACGGCGGAAGTCGCGCGTGCGCCTCCGCGACGTTGCTGCGCTTCGCGACGGCGCCCCCTGCTGCACATGTGGCGCATCACACCGGATGGGCTCCTTTGCGGGTTCCGAGCCTGGTGGAGCTCCTCCGGAGCAAAGAAGAGAGGTTGCAGGGTGTCTTGGTCGTTTTTGTTTTGTTTTGTTTTTGGTACCGGGGATCGAACTCGGGTCCTTGTGCTTGCACAGCAGGCGGCGAAACCACTGAGCTGAATCCCCGGCCCCCTCTTGGTAGTTTTTTGAAGTACTGGGGATTGAACCTAGGGCTTTGCCCATGCTGGGCAAGCACTCTACTAACGAGATACACCCCCAGCACTTTTATTTTTGTTTTTTTGAGACAGGGTCCCGCTATGTAGTTCAGGCTGGATTTGAACTCACTATAAGGCCAGGTTGGCCTCCAACTCTCAATGATCTTCCTCTTGCCTCAGCCTCTAGGGTCCTGCGATTACAGGCCTGCGACACCATGTCTGGTCCCAGCCTCTTTTTTTTTTTAATGCTGAGACTGGGTCTTACTAAATTGCCCAGGCTGGCCCAAATTTGAGATCCTCCTGCCCCTGCCTCCCAGAGTGCTGGGATTACAGATGTGCACCACTGCTCAGCAAGTTTGATGAACTTGCTTTCTTTTTTTTTCTTCTTCTTTTTTTTGGGGGGGGGGGGTTTGAGACAGGGTATCACTACATAGTTCAGGCTGGCCTGGAGCTCACCGTGCGACCCAGGCTGGCCTCGAACTCGCCACAATCTTCCTGCCTTAGCCTACCAAGTCCTGGATAACAGGCATGTGCCACCACATCCACCAAGATGGATGAATTTTGACAAAGGTCACCGTACCCCTCTTGAGACTCAGCACCCCACCACCGCAGCGCACTGAGCACCTTCCTGGGCCCCCATCGCTGCCCCCTCCCAGTTGCCACAGTTTTGCTTGGTCTGGAGCTTCCTGCAAAAGGGAGCTTGAGTGCCCTTCCATGTCTGCTCCCCTTTCGATGTGGTGGCTTGGATTCCTCCGTGGTGTACACGTTTCAGTAACCCTCCTTCTTACTGCTAAGTGTCAAATTTCTTTGTACATTCCCCTGTGGACCTTTGGAAGGTTTCAGTAATTACAAATAAAATGCTAGGGAATATCTGTGGCTCAGTACTCATGTGGCTAGATGTTTTCAGTTATCTTGGATAACTACTTGGGTAAGTGGAATTTCTGGAGCAAAGGGATGTATTACTAACACTGTAAAAATCTGCCAAGTGCACATGGCGGCACATGCCTATAATCCCAGGTGCTCCGGAGGCTGAGGCAGGAGGACTGCAAGTTTGGGTCGCAACTTAGCAGGACCCTGTCTCCGAGTAAAAACTGAAAGGACGGCTCCTGGTTCCAGGGCACCCTGCAATAGGCTTCTCTGAGGGGTTTTTTTTGGTACTGGGGATCAAACGCTGGTCCTTGCACTTTCGAGGCAGGCGGCAGAACCACCAAGCTAAATCCCCAGCCCTTCTCTGAGGGGTTTTAGCTGGGGGTTCAGAGCAAGCATAGGTTCCAGGTCACACAGAGACCAAGGAGTCTCAGGGGCAAGTCTGCAGTGAGGGGCGGGGTCCAGTCAGCAGGTGCACCCAGCTGTCTCAGGGGAGGCTGGCATGGAGCAGGGGCTTCTGTCTAGGGCTCCGGGCCGACCACGTGGGCCAAGAGGAGGTGTGAACTGCAGGTGGGCTGTCAGGGGCTGAGCCCTGCTCTGGTATGATGAGGTTCACTTTGTATTCAAAACAGATGCAGAGGCAAGAATCCATTACCGCTGCTTCTGGGGATTGAACCTAGGACTTTGGCACTGAGCTACATACCCAGCCTCTTTTTAAATTTTTTTTTTTTTTGAGACAAGTTCTCACTATGTACTCCAGGCTGGCCTTGACATCTCAGTGATCCTCTTGCCTGTACCTCCTGAGGGCTGGGGTTACAGGCATGAGCCACTGCGCCCAACGTTGTTCCTTTTTCTAATTGGCTTGGCTATAATTCTAGGATAGTGTTGGGCGGAAGTGGTAAAAGTACACTTTGTGTTCAGCAGTACTGTTTTACCTCCACAGGAATGAAAACTGCAGTGTGCCAGAGCTTCCTGCTGTTGGGGATGTGCTATGGGAAGCGACCCAGTTACCCTGTGGCAGCTCAGCCCAGCGTGGGGCCGCTCAGTGGCTGGACCTGTGTCGCCCTAGCTGTGAGAGGGGCCAGGCAGGTTCTCCAGGGACCTGGCAGCCTCTGTGCGTCTCCAGCCCCCTCAGGCTGTGGCCTGGGTGTGTGCAGAGGCAACGTGCCTACTTCTGGAGCCTCCACGTGACTGTCATGCCTGTTCCCTCCTGGGAGGGGACACTGTAACACAGGCTGCTCAGGCTGGGCAGGCAAACCACTGGCTCTGTTTAGCTTTCCCTCAGCCTGGGCCTTCATCATCTCTACCCAGGCACTGACCTCTCCCTTCTGTATTTTCCTTTTGTGGTGCTGGGGAGTGATTCCAGGGCCTTCACAGTGAGCTGCATCCCCAGCCCTTTTTAAAATTTTTTGAGCACTTAGGAGGCTGAGGCAGGAGGCTTCCTGTGAGTTCAAGGCCAGCCTGGACTACATAATGAGACTCTCAAAAAATCAAAAATAAATAAAAATAAAAATTTTAAATTTTGAGACAGGGTCTTATTAAATTGCCTAAGGTGGGTTCAGACTTCCAGTCTCTTGCCTCAGACTCCTAGAGTTCTAGAATTACAGGCATGTGCCACCATTTTTTTTTTGGCACTGGGGATCAAACTCAGGACTTGTGCTTTTGAGGAAGGCAGGGTGCCACTGAGCTAAATCCCGGCCCAGCATCATCTTTAGCTAAAGGTTTATACTTCCACAGCATCCTCACCTATATAGCCAGTGCCTCCGCGAGGCTAGAGACAGACCATATAAGCAGGGGAATGAGGCAGGGCAGGATTGGACAAGCCCCTGAAATTAGGAGCACAAAACCTGTGAGGGTTTTGAATCCTCCAAAGGTTGAAAACCATCCTGCAGACAATTCTCTGGTGTCCCACCCTTTCCAGGCCAGGCCAGGACATGTGCAGTCTTGCTCATGTGGTCTGTGATCTCCTCAGTGGCTTCCCCTCATTGAGCATCTGTAGGCAGCAGTTGCTGGACTTAAACTTTCTACAGACCCCTGCCTCCAAGGCAAGCAAGTGGTCTAAGGCTTAGCGGTTTTGATAGCAATGTGCATTTTGGTTTGTTGTTTTGCTGACAGGTTAAGGGCTTTGGCAGTTAAGGGTTTTAGTTATAATTTCTGTGACAGCTTGTAGTCTGATTATGCAGTTCAGCATGTAAAGGGGGTGCAGTAGCCCCAAAACCCATCCTCTGCCCAGGTGGCAGGGCCATAGTATTGGATCCTACGCTCGGGGGGCCGTTCATCATCCTTCCAATTGCCAATTTGTGGGGCATGCCTTTGTCTGAGTTTCTCTGTCCCCATACACCTGGGCTCCCAGATGTTCTCCCCGGGCAAGGGGGAGTAGGAAAAAGATGGGTGAATTCTTCCTAACACACATGACCCTGGCTAGTTAGGGGGTACAGTATAGGCTGTTCTCCCTCATATCCAGTACAGTCCACATGGGGTTCCGCCTTCTATGGCTGTGCCAACACTACTCCCAGCCTCTCAGAGATGGGAGAAGTTAGACAAGGGGTGGGGATCTGGCTCAAGAAAATCTGGGGACGCCCACCACTGGGTTTCCCTGGGCAGTTGTTATAAAATCTTTGGCCTAGGTGTGTTAGGTTTCCACCAGGAACAGTGAACCTTTTCCCCAACGGGCAAGGCAGTTCTTTCCAATGATTGAGGTCCTGAGAAGCCAAATCCCAGAGGTAGGGTTGGGGTACCCTGTTCCAGTATAAGATTTGCAGGGATCTAATTCTTTAGCCTTCCGTGTGGCTCCCCCACACATAACAAGAGGAGATCTTTAGAGTTGGGGTTCTAGTCTCTGCTACAGTCACGAACAAGTTTCTGGTTGTGAATGAAATGGAAAGGGGCTACTTTTATTTCCTTGTCAAGTGAATGAAAGACCTGATGGGACGCAGCTGAATGGGTGGTAGTGACTGTCTTGAAATACAGCACAGGCCCATGGATCCAGATGCCAACTCGGATGCCCCACTGCCATCTGGGATCTCCTGGATTAATGAGGTACAATTTAGCGGGTTGCAGGCCTTTGACTGACAACCTGATGGAGCAGCTCCCTCCAAAGGAGTGGCATTGTGCCTTCATTTTCTCAGGTAACTCACAAAACACAGCTCCAGCTGGGGCATAAAAACTCAGGCATCTGGGCTTGTAAACTGCTTTCCTCACACACATGCTTGTCACTGAGTGTGTATTCGCCCTCCCAATCTAGACCTCCACTAAGCTATATCGAGTCCTTGGACTCTCTATGGCAAGGGCCATTTCTTTCATGCCACAAATGCCTCAGGGCCAATATCTATAACCGCTCACACTCAAACTGTACTGACACCGGGCATTTGGGGTTAGTAATCTGTGTCCGGCTGACCAAGGTCCCCCTTCTTGGTGGGATCATCCCTCTCAACATCTTCACTGTGGGTCAAAACAAATCTATGGCCTTCCCTGTTCGCAGATGGAATGGGTTTTCTTGTTCTGTGTGCAGGTCCCTTCGACCTTTCCTTGGCACAAGAAGTGAGTGTGGCAGAGTAAAATCCAAGACTTCCTTCTGCTGTGGTGAATCCAGGGGACAATCTCGGCCACCTTTACCACAGTGGGGGTGGAGAGGATAACCGCGAGTAGGCCCCACCGAAGGGGTGTTAAAGGCTGGATGCTTTATTCCTTTACCCACACAGCATCCCCTGGCTTGAAAGAGTGAGGTCTGTGGCCAGATCAATGGGCAATCGTTCCTTAACCCATTGGTGTAGAGTGACTAAGGTTGAGCCTAATGGCTCTATCTGCTGCCTCAGGGTAAGATTTTTAAGCTCCTTTAAGTCCCTCCTTATGCCCTTAATAAGAGGAGGGGCCTCCCATAGAGAACTTCAGGAGGGGAAACCCCATCTGTTTAGGGGAACTGGACCTAATCTTCAGCAGGACTATTGGTGAGAGCTGGTCCCAGCGCAGGTCAGTTTCCTGACACAGTTTGCTCAGCTGTAGCTTTTGAGTCTGGTTCATTTGTTCCATGTTTTTCTTTTTCCTTTTAAGTTCTGGGGATGGTATGCCAAATGTAGCTAACAGGTAATCTTTAGTCCTTTGGCCACCAGCTGTATCATCTCCGAAACGAATGCCAGCCCATTGTCTATTCCTGTGGGAACGAGATTCCAAAACGGGGAATGATTTTCCTCAGAAGAAATCAGGCCACCTCAGATGCCTTTTCTCTGTGGGTGAGAAGGCCTCTACCCAGCCTGAGAAGGTGCACACAAAGGCTAACAAATACTTGTAGTCGTGGGCCAGGGGAAGCTCAGTGAAGTCCACAACCACATTTTCAAATGGGGCTCCCCAACATTCTGCACCCCAGGCGCAGTCTTGAGTCCTTGATGTGGGTTACTGTGGGCACGTTTCTTATTGTTTATATACTGCTTAGGCTATGCTGGAGAGCCATGGGACATAGAAATGCCAGCCCACAGCAGTCTTGAGAGCTGTCCCACCCATATGGGCGTCCTGGTGAAACTTCTGACAAAAGTTGGAGCTAGTGCCTCAGGGATTGCAATCCTGTCATCTTCAAATTTCTGTAATTTTTTTTTGGGGGGGGGTACCGGGGATTGAACTTGGGACCTTGTGCTTGCGAGGCAGGCGGCAGAACCACTGAGCTAAATCCCCGCCCCAGTCATCTTCAAATTTCCATCACCCCCTGGGAGATAAGTACTGTCGTGTTGTAATTAGGGTCCCATTCTGTCAATAGACTAGGGAACATCTCGGCAGCCACAGCCATTGGGACTGCTATTCTCCTGGAGGCCAAAAACTTTGCTTCTCTGTCTCCTTTACAGTTTCCCCTAGCAGCCGAGGTGTCTCCCTTCTGATGTCCCTGACAGTGCATGACTGCCACTCTCTTAGGGGCCCATAAAGCATCTAGGAGTTCAAGGATTTCTCTACCATATTTTATGTATTTTTCTCCTGCGTTTATTTTATATATATATATATATATACACACACATACATACATATATATATATCTATATGCGCATGTGTGTGGAGGGTGGTGAATGCACTCTTGGAGTCTGTGTGTATATTCACATGTATCCTTGCTGCCAGTTGGAGGGCACAGGTTAATGCGATAAGCTCTGCCTTTTGTGCTGAGGTCCCTTTTGTCAAAGAATTTGCCTCAATGACAGAATTCAGGGTTACCACAGAGTACCCTGCAAGGCATTCTCCATCCTTCACAAAACTGCTAGCGTCAGTGAAATACTCAGTGTCGGGGTCCTTGAGGGGATCGTCCCTCAGGTCTGGTCAGCTGAAGAACACTTCATCCATGACTTCAATGCAGTCATGGTCTGGCTGGCCTAGCCCGACAGGCAGTAGAGTTGCTGGGTACAGGGTCCACACCACTTCTAAGTGGACACACAGATTTTCACATAGCATCCCCTGATATCTAACCATCCAGGCGTTGGTTAGCCAGCATTGTCCCTTATACTCTGTTAATGTCAATACTGAGTGTGACACTCGGGCAGTTAGTTCTTGTCCCACAGTCAGTTTGTCAGCCTCTGCCACCAAGAGGGCCATAGCTGCAAGGACTTGCAAATAGGGTGGCCAGCCCTGAGCAATGCAGTCAAATTGTTTGGAGAGGTATGTCACCAGAACTAAGCTATGATCCCAACATCCGGGTTAAAACACCCACAGCTCTGCCAGTGTGCTCATGGACATACAAGAAGAGGGCTTATTTGATTCCCAGTACCAAAAATAAAAAAAGAATAATGACAAGAAGAAGGGCTTAGCATGTCTGGAAGTCCCAGGCCTGGTGCATTGGTGAGGACCTGCTTGATCTCTTTGAAGGCCTTTTGTTGTGCTTGTTCACGTAATAGAGGTTCTCATTTTCCCTTCTTTGTGGCTTTATAAAGGGGTTTTGCCAAGACTGAGAAGTTAGGTATCCAAATGCAAAAACTTGTTGGTACAGGGATTGAGCAAACTCCCTGCTTCTTCTCAAATCCGGATGAGTTAGGACCTCTCTCATGAGGGGCTTAGATAACATTTCCCTTCTGTCCGGAAGAAACCATTTTTTTCCTGAGCATCAAGCTGTGCCCCTAACTGCTATAATTTTTTTCTTTTCTCTCTCTTGGTCTCAGATTGTTACAATTCTAAACTTGACTGGCTGCCAACGGACTTTCAAGTAACCTTGAATCAGTACCTTTATCAGCAGAAGGCAGAGAGAAGAGCAAGTTAACCCTATAATTGTAGCTTAAGAATTTACAATCCAGGGCCAGGGATTTAGCTCAGTGGTTCCGGCGTCTGCCTCGAAAGCCCAAGGTCCCAAGTTCGATCCCCGGTACCAAAAAAGAAAAAAGAAAAAAGAATTTACAATCCAGCCCTTGTTGCTTCTGCTATCTTATGCTTTCAGGAACTGTTGCCCCTCTACCACCCTGCCTTAGAGCCAGCTCATTATAGACTAAAACCAGTACAAACTGTGAGTTCTAAACCAGGCATCAAGAAGTCTTACAAGCTTACTCTTCTGCTCTGGGAATCCTCTGACATCCATGTAAACAACTTAGACCAGCTTTGTGCCCTTTTTTTTTTTTTTTTTTTTTTTTTTTTTTGGTACTGTGGATTGCACTCGGGACCTTGAGCTTGCGAGGCAGGTGGCAGAACCACTGAGCTAAATCCCCGGCCCTTAGACCAGCTTTGTGAAAGGGGCAGACCAAATGGAGAGAAGCACTGGTTATCCCACCTCTCACTGCTGTCCCCATAGAGGCCACTGTATCCCAGTGATCCTCAGTACTCATCCTCTAGTGTAGGAAAATCAAGGTTCACTCTGAAAAGGAGGAAGAATTAATATCTTCAGAAAGAAAGGTTACCTTGGGTACAGAATGAAGAAATGTTTGAGGTCAAATGATTTAACAGAGCTTAGCAAAGGAATTCCTCATTAATATGTGAGCAGAATCAAAGAATCAATAAAGGATACTGAGGTACCAGGCAACTGGAAAAGCAGGAACTCATCCCATACCATGCTTCGGTCTGGCATGGCCAGTGAAGTCATTACTGCAGAGAAGGCTGTACCACCAGAAGTGCTGCCTACAGGCTCTGCCCTCCGAGGTGGATGACCACAGCCACTGCCAGCTATGGCTTGGCAGGGATGGGGCCAAGTAGACTCAACATCTCTCTCCATTGAGAACATGAAGCATGGAAGAGGAGCCACTCAACAAGACAGATGATGAGCGAGGGACACACGCACTGGCAGGAACCACATCCCACAGCAAAGCGGAAACAAAGATGAAATAGGCCAGACATTCTACTCTTCTACTCAGGGCTTTTTCTGGCATGAGGTCTGTGGATGGAAGCTGGCTCTCTCTCTCTCTCTCTCTCTCTCTCTCTCTCTCTATTTCTCTCTCTTTTTCTATATCTACATTAATCTATATGGAAAGAAATAATAATTTCTGTTACATTTGACAATAATATTTTCCCAGCGCAATTCTCACTGAGAACTCTTTCTCCTGCTTTTCCTCCCCCTCTCCAATAGGTGTATTGGAAAAGCCATGGGATATATAGTTAGGGATAAGTTCAATTAGGGATAAATTTAGTTACATTTAATGAGATACATAGTTATGGGTCCCAGTCCAGGGTTTTTTTGTACAATTAAGTAATTTCTAGTCAAACAACTACAAAAATAGCTTTCAGAAATCCTTCGTGTCAATATACCTGTCTTTGAAGTTTCAGGAGCAGCGATGGTCTTATATAGAGGTCATATTTAGGACACCTATGATAGTGGGTATGTGCGTAGAGAAGAAGATTTAAAGTAGGAAATAAGGCTAAAATATCAGAATACAGCTTTGAAAAAATGTTCCAAACCGGGCCGGGGATTTAGCTCAGTGGTTTTGCC